ATTCTACCAACTTTTAGGAGGCCCTGGTGACCACCCAACCATCCCACCAACAAATAGAGTACCCTAAAGGGAGTTGTAGCTGACTTCTTAATGCAAAACAGCATACAAGGAGATGAGCTAAGAGGTAGGGTCTGTTTCCACACATTTATCTCTGGTTATTAGACACTTTTAGAGGGAACATCTGTTTGTCCATTCTGGCTCCCATATTGCAGGCCCTATTTGAAGGCCAGCTTGGCCCCTTCTCTGACTGAATGGGGACTAAGCCATAAATTAGAGCCAGAAGGGAGACTTAGAATAGGAAGTCAGAGGGGACTTTGCCCATTTCACCAAAAGGGAGGAGCTGGGCTCTTCAACTGACCAGTCATCAAGTGAGAAGAGGTAAAAAACAGAGGGAGTCCCAAAGTCACCTGATGGTGCCCATGCCAAATGTATGCATTCGTCACAGGGTTTATCCTGTGGACAGCACCACTAGTTTTAGTGGGACCTGAGTGTCAAACCAAAGCCCATAGACTGATCATGCTTCCAAAGATCCAGGGACCTAGGCTAGACTCCATTATTTGTTTTTTCTTTTGTTTTAAACTTTGGGTATTTGTTTTATAGGAGGAATACCTGTGTTTATGAAAGGATTTTCCACATCATCTCACAGTATGTTCTTAGGAGATGCACTGTTGATTCACTCCTCAGAATAGGCTAACTAATTAAGCAAGAGAAAAATCTGTTTTCTTGTTAAGTTTCTAAAGATACTTATGAGGACATAAAATTAGTACAAGAGTAGGTTAAAGTTAAAATTCTCCTTTGTTCTTTTTTTTTTTTTTTTTTTTGACAGGCAGAGTGGACAGTGAGAGAGAGAGACAGAGAGAAAGGTCTTCCTTTTGCTGTTGGTTCACCCTCCAATGGCCGCCGCGGCCAGCGCACCGCGCTGATCCGATGGTAGGAGCCAGGTGCTTCTCCTGGTCTCCCATGGGGTTCAGGGCCCAAGTACTTGGGCCATCCTCCACTGCACTCCCTGGCCACAGCAGAGAGCTGGCCTGGAAGAGGGGCAACCGGGTCAGAATCCGGCGCCCCGACCGGGACTAGAACCTGGTGTGCCGGCGCCGCTAGGCGGAGGATTAGCCTAGTGAGCCGCAGCGCCGGCCTCCTTTGTTCTTATTCCGTTGGATATTGTTTATCTAGCCCATATCTTCAGTTTGCCTATAAGACATTTCTGGTTGGATCCAGTACCATAAATCGAAATCCATGTGATCCCAAGTCCCATTCCAGTGGGAATAGTCTATGAGTCCATGCCTTACCTCACCAATGCCTTTCTAAACACATTCAGATTCTTATTTATCCCTTACAATTCTTTAGGTTACACCAGTTCAAAATGTCAGAATTTTAGAGTCTGCTTTACTCATTGCCCTGGCTTAAATGTGCCACAAAGTTCATGTCATAGAAACTCAGTCCACAGGTACAACAGCATCAAGAGGCTGTGCCTTTAAGAGGTGATTATTGAGGGGCAGGTGTTGTGGTGCAGCAGGTTAAGCCATGGTTCAGGATGCTGACATCCCATATCAGGTGTAGGTTTGAGTCTTGGTTTCTCTGCTTCTGGTAAACTTCCTGCTAATACACCTGGGAGGCAACAGATGATGGCTCAAGTGTTTGGGCTCCTGCCACCCGTGAGAGGCCAGATGGAGTTCCTAGATCCTGACTTTGGCTTGGCCTAGCCCTAGCTTTTCAGGTTCATTTGGGAGTGAATCAGTGGCTGGAAGATCTGTCTCTTTGATTTCAAGTAAATGAAAATAAGTAAACATTTAAAAAGGTGATTCTATCATTAAGCCCTTTTGAATGATTAAGACTGTTATGTTATGGAGTGGGTTAGCTATTAATAGGGGTAGTTTGGCTCGAGTACCTTTGTCTGTCTTGTCTATTCATTTGTCCTTCTGCCATGTTATGGTGCAATATGAAGGCACTTGCAAGATGGCAGTACCATGCTGTTAGATTTTCCCACCTCAGAACTGTGAAAAGTAAACTTGTTTTCCTTATAAATTATCCCACTGGTGATATTCTGATGTAGCAGCAGCAAATAAAGAATGAACCATTCATCTTCCTTCTTATTCCTGGCTTTCCCACAACCACTCCAGTTGCTGCTGGCTCCAGTGACTTACCAAGGCATCTCCATTTTTAGAAATTTTTGTATCCATCCTTTGTATTATAATTCATAAACTGATTTAACCAATTCTGCCCTCTTGATTCTATGTCTATTCTACCCTTCCTCACCATTCCCAACCTCTATGGCTTGGACCAAGGCAAATCTTATATCCAGGAACATCCCATTAGAATTCATTATGCTTGTTTCCCTATTGGTTTTCTGAAGTCACAACTCATATCACCTTCCTGCTCAAAAACTTTTACCAGATGCTCTTCCTAAGCAAAGAGAACATTACCTTTTCATTTTGATGGTCAAGCCCTCTGCAGTACAGTCCATCCTTTCCAATCCTGTATACCTTTTACTATTCCATCCTTCTTTACTCACGTTTATCCTCTTCCTAGATTGTCCTTTTCCCCTTATTTGCTTATTAAAAATCTATGTATCTTCAAGATTCACCTCTACCCTTTCCCATAAAATCTTCCAGATTCATAACTTTTCCTTTTTAAGGCCTCATAGTACTTGGATTATGCCCATGATGAGGCAATGCATCCCACTCTTGGTAGATGGACACACAGGCCTCCAGGAACCACATCTTACTATGGTCCTCTGTCTCTTCTACAGAGCCATTGCACAGTGCAGCATACAGAGGCATTTCATGACTGCTTATTGAACTGTATTAGTCTCTCTGCCTTCATTATCTCTCCTTGCTGTAAATTCATTTAAATAATTACCTATTAATAATAGCACTTTTTTTTACATGGTATTGGAAGGTACAAAGCTCTTTTACATGTATTATTTCTGATGTCCATGAATAGTCCTGCAAGGCAGGCAGGAGAGATATTATCCCCATTACGTAAGTTAGGGGACTGAGGTTCATAGAAGGGAAAAGAGTTGCCTAAACTGTAAGCACTGAAAGGAACCCAGCTGTTAATTCAACTCAGAGAAGTATCCACGGTAAAAGACCAAAGAAGTGAGCAAGAAAGTCCAAGCCCTCTCAGGGACCCCTTCTTCTGCTTTATTTAGCATGAGAGAAACCTTCAAGTCCAGTCAGGGGCACTTCGTATGAGAATGAGGAGTATTGGCCTGGGATCTGGGCTGGAGCCACTGTGCTATTGCCTGGTCATTTTGAATTTGTGGTGGTTTTTTCCTCCTTTCAGTCTTAGATACAGATACTACCACACCATGAACCTTAAAGTCTTTTTTCCCCTCCAAATTAAGCCATAATTCCAGACCTTCTTCATTTTTAAATACTCACTGGATTCACGTTGCTCTTAGATCACCAGAGAAATTCTTCGAGAATACCTGGAGCAACTCACATGGTACCTAGGGCCTGGGCCTAACTTTTCCTCATCTCTCATCCTCAGAACTGATCTCACATTTTCCTGTTAATCTGTCCATCTGTCCATCCATCCATCCATCCATCCATCATACAGTAGACCACCTGAATACCAAATCCACATACTACCACATCATTTTTTTTTTTTTTTGACAGGCAGAGTAGACAATGAGAGAGAGAGACAGAGAGAAAGGTCTTCCTTTGCCGTTGGTTCACCCTCCAATGGCTGCCGTGGCCGGCGCGCTGCGGCTGGCACACTGCTCTGATCCGATGGCAGGAGCCAGGTGCTTATCCTGGTCTCCCATGGGGTGCAGGGCCCAAGCACTTGGGCCATCCTCCACTGCACTCCCTGGCCACAGCAGAGAGCTGGCCTGGAAGAGGGGCAACCGGGACAGAATCCGGTGCCCCGATCGGGACTAGAACCCGGTGTGCCGGCACCGCTAGGTGGAGGATTAGCCTAGTGAGCCGCGGCGCTGGCCAACTACCACATCTTGCACTTCTCTAGACTCTTTGTGGCTCCTCAGTTTCAGACAGAAGAATCCTCCTGAGGTAACAGCAGGCTGTGTCTCCTTTTCCAGGTAGTGCTTGTACATTTTAACAGTGGGACTCACCATGAAAATGTGAAGGCTTTATGAAACAATGGTGGAGGTTGAAGGTCATTCCAGATAAAAATGTATCTTTCTCAAACATACCTCTGTAGCCCTTGGAGGAGGGTAGTAACATCCAGCTCTTTTTCTCCAGAGGTCACACATGTCCTTTGTAAGAGGAATATGCTGATTAATAGCTGTACTTTCCAATGATACTGGGTAAAATTGTGTTGCACAGCCTCTTTACAGCTTTCCCTTGGAAAGGGAGCTCAGCTTGTAGGCTCTGACTGGATGTTGCCAATGTTTAAAATCAGAGTTTGAAGTAAGTGCATGTGGAAGAAGAAATCCTTGGGTTTTCATTACACTTGGAATTGTCAGATATTACATTTGGGAAAATAAGAAAATTCAGCAGCTTAATTGCATGCATGACTACAGAAATGTTAGGAATTCATGTTCCCATCTCTCTGCTTTGCTTTGAGTGGGTCCTGTTTGAGCTGCAGGGAAACTTCTGGGGTCATTATTGTTGTGAATTTCTTGGGACTAGGACTCCCTAGCCATTCCTTCTCCACTGCTGGCAGACTGAGTGACTTAGAGGACCTGTTGGCTTATCTCAAGTCCTAACAGAGAGCCTTGCCTGGCACAGGCAGATTGATAGGTGAGGAAGATTTTGTGCAACACTTGAAGGCAAATAAGATGCTTCCTGGGATCAAATTACATGAAAGCCTTTATGAATACCTTCTCCTTCTCACTTGGAAAACCCAATCCCGGAGATAATGACCTCTGTGTCTTTTTATGTAGCAAAATATTTCTCTCCAAAATTCTGCCTTTCCCCTTTTATTCTATATCCTAAATCACAATGTGTGTTCTACTAGAGGTTTTGAAATGCCAGAACATTTGAATCTATACCCGAATTTTACTGCCTTTTAATAAAATGAGCCATATTGAGTGGTATGATACACAATAAAGAATCCATTTATTTGTTCTCCTTTCCCCCAAGTTTAACAAAATAATCCAGACCCTTATTTTTGTTAACTTGCACGAAACAGATCTCCCCCCAGAGTTCAGAGGTCTTTGGAGCTTCAGTGCCAACCTCAGTGAGGGTCCTGTCCACATGTGCTTTTGCTTGTAGTCAGCGGCATACTGCAGGACTGGCCCACTGTATGGTTTTATCAATCCTTACAATTTAAATTCCCCCCTACTAAGTGAAAGTTTAATTGGAACAGAAGCATAGATGAGGCTTTCTTTAAACATGGAAGGTGATAGTGAGTTCTCCTGGAGTAAGCTTTATGTGGGGGCTCATGTCATTGACTGCAGCTAATTGCAGCTCCTTCAGTAACTCAGTGACGTATCTCAAAAACATGTGGTAGCTTTGAATGGACAGGTCAATCAATCTTTTTGACTCAGCAACTAATTTTTCAGGATAATCACAGAGTTGGTCTGATAAATCCTGTAGTTTATATCTGAACTGCTGGTGGTAATCAGAAATGATTTCCTTCATTGCAGTGGCCCAGCTTTTAGTTATTTCCTGAGCACTGGTAGCAAGCTCTGCAATCTTCTCTTTCCCTTTCCCGTCTGCATCAGTAAGGATGCTAAGATATTCCTGGATATCTTTGCACACAATTTGCTCAACTTGACTTGAGAGTTGGGAAGCAAAGCCAGCAGCACCGGCAGTAAATTTGGAATACAAGTCCTTAAGGGCAGCTACTAGGTGGTGGATCACGTTGATGATCTTCTCTTCAAGTTCATAAGATTTCACTCTCCAGCCAACTACACTTGGATCAAAATACTCCTTGCGAAGAGCCTTTATGTGCTGTTGGATCTGCTGCAACTCTTGAGAAGCTGCCTTAAGTTTGTTCTGAACAAACTCATTGAACTTACCAAGGTTAAAGTACAGGTTTTCTTTCATGTGTCTAACAATATATGCAATATAGTCTTGGACTGTGTTGATGACATTTTGGATATCATTAATGGCATAAATAAGCTTTATCTCCTTTAAGTGTTTAATTTCTCCTTCTACCCTTAGGAAGAAGCATTCTAAAATTTCCTGAAGATCATTTAGTATCTCTGTTAGCTTGATAGACTGGAGTTTATTAAATGCGTCCTGGATTTCTTGTGATAAAAGTTCCACCATTTTTATACATTCCAGGATTATTTCTGTTGGTTTATAGCTCTTTGATTTGAAGGGATGTTTAATAATTAGGTCCTTCATTAATTCGGATTTCTCCACTAGGTCTTGCATATAGGACAGCGAGATTTCTAACCCATTATGGATACTGGAATGCACCTGGGACAGTGCCTTTCCTACTTCCCTCATGACCATAGTACAGAGTTCATCTCTGCTATACAGCCTGGCTTTCCCTGGGAGCTGGAATCTGGGGAACTTCAGGAAATCAATGAATGAATCAATCAGACGCTTGACTGCCATGTGGTATTCCTGTAAAACCCACACTAAACTGTCAATCACCTTATCCTTGAGCCTCTGGGAAGTGGCTTGGTCTTTCTGAGCCAGGAGTTCCTGGTACAGAGTCTGAGCCTGGTCCTTCCACCCCTGGTAGGTTCTTGTGGTGCCGCTGGCTGCTCTCTGCAGCCTCACATCCATCTCATCAATTTGCCTCATGGCCTCCTGATAGGCCTGCTCAGCGCTGTTCTGAAGACTTCTCTGTAGTTTTGAAGAAGCTGCCTTCAGGTTGAGTCCCGTGTGCTCCCGGTGGTACTTGTTGATGTAGTTGTAAAGGGTCCCCATGGCCTTGGGCATGTTGTCTTTTAGAGAGCTTACCAATCTGGAAGCTGCCTCTTCTTCCCAGTTAACTTCGATCTGTGCTTCCTGCTCAGATTCTTTGTACCTGAACTCAGTTTTTAATATGTTGAGTTTTTTATCTGGAGAAGACTAAAACCAGCAAAGGAAAAAAAGATGAAAAGAAAAGAACATGTTTTCAATTATCCTGATTACATAATATACTACACTAAAACTTCATTAGCAGTTAAAAATAAAGATCAGAGGGTCTTTCATAGTCTGAAGGGGATTTATCTTTCATATGTCAGTTCATGTGTTTATTTCATGGTTAAATAAGTCCACTGCTGTTATTTCCCCTTTATCACATACTGCAAAAAGGATAAAATATGCTTCACATTTACTCAATGACACTTAGCATTAAGACCTTCTTGGGCCTGACAGTCGAAGTGGAGAAAAGGAAAAGGAGAAAGGGAAGAGAGAAATAAAAAAGAAAAGGCAAATTCAGAGAAAGAAGTAGTAAAAAAGGAAAAGACCAAGAGTCTTTTCAGCAGGGAGGTAGAACACCAATATCAGTGCTCATTCTTCAAACCTATGACAAACTTTAGTAATAGAACCAGGTTAGGTCTCCTGTTCTGGTGATGGTATCTTTTGTTTATTCCTGACAGAACTTGTAAACTATGTGAGAAGAGTTTCATGTGTATTTATTGTAAAGAAAAATTTTGGATGCCTCAAGTACTCCAGAAGCCACTATCTGAAAAGTGTACTCTGCATATGGCAGTATTTGTTCATAATTTTGGTGATTGAGGCATAACCCTCATCTTTCTGAATTTGCCCAGGAGTAATACAGTAGTAGTGCTAATATGAGGTCATGTGTGTTTGTGTGTGTGTCTAATAATTCTGTTCAATAAAGGGCTCCTTGTAATACTTTCTAGAGAACAGATCCTCAGAGAAGTTCTTGCTAACAGCGTTTCAGCTGGTCTGCAGAAGTTCTGACTCCGTCATGAGTGAAATGTATCCATCCCAATTCTCTACTTGCTCTTAGCAGTGTGTAACCCATTAGATGGAACTTACCTGAGGGTAGAGGTAGAGGCTCCACATTAAAATGTCTTCTTGGTCTTCCAAGTCCATTCCCACGGTGCCTATGGCTGGAGAGGCTGCCCAGAAGGAGAGCGTTTTCTCGTCTTCTTGGTAGTGCATATGGAAATCAGTGAACACTGGGCTGGTGATGTCAAGGCGAGCCTCTCCTTCCCAGACCCTGGAAACAGAGAAGAAGGTGAGCCATCCAGAAATGGGTATGGAGATGGTAAAAATTAGTGACTTTTCAAAAGAGGTGAAGTCTCAGTAGAAGTGCCATACTGAAGTCCTTTATATTTGCTGTCTTCCTTGTACTCTGCACTGAAGTCACGATGTGCAAATGTTCCTCTGGTCTTACAGATGAACATGCCATCTTCAATTTTGTGCGTTCCCACAACTGTATAGGAGAGATTTTGTATTTTATTAGGTTAATAACCACACGATGCAGACATTTTCATTGTGAAAACTGAGAGAATTCTATCTTAACTAAATGCCTTATGTTTTAAAACATGCAATGTGCAGTCCATATTGTGTCTAATGAACAGAAGACATTATTTGTCATAAAGTCATTGCAAAAATCTCTTCAAACATTTCATGGAAAATATGTATCACAGAAAGAGCTGTTCACAGATTTCATTTTTTGTACCAAAATATACTCATCTTTTAACTCCATTTCCAAGAATGTTTTGATATACTTTTGTATATGTTTTTGTCTCTTATTTTACATATCACTATAGAGAGTAATTTTGCCTCTGGTCATAACTAATTACTCATATATAATTATTTACTCACAACTCATTAGAAACATGTAATATGTAGGAGAGGAAGCAGGGTATTTCCTTACCATTTAGGTCATATTCCAGGAACTGGATAGTTGAGCTGCATGTGGAATCCAGGAATGTTTCAATATGATCTTCTTTGTTTTTCAAACCAGCACTCCAAGTGACATTATACAGGGGAGAGGCCAACCCAAATTGTGCAGTCAGGGTGCCAAAGAAAGGAATGAAAATTCCAGTAGGTACAGAGAACTTAGTGGAAGGAATCTCAATAGTCTGCTCAGGCACAATGGTGGAAGGCAACTCAAAGTCTGCAATCTTGTTGGCAACATCATTTAGATTCAAAACAGTGCTACCAACTGAAATACTTTTTGGAAGGGTGAATTGGGACACAGTTACCTGAGCTTCAGGTATAGTTATCTCAAAAAATGGAACTGAGTAGTCTTGCAATTCAGAATATTTTGTTAGCACATCAACTTTGGGGAATTTTACATTGGGTAGTATTGATAGGTTGAGAGCAAATGGTGAAGTACTAAGCTTCTTATAGATTTTTATCTCACTGAAGTCAAGTTTGTAGGATGGAACCAGAAGATCTACAAATGGGACTTGGAATGTAGGTGTGACAAGAACTAAGTCTAGATCATTTAGTTTCAGCCCAGGGATGATAAATTTATCTGCCAATTCTTGGACGGGAAGAGAGAAAGCATAGCCATTGGGGTTCTTGGTATATACAAGGGCAGTTGAGGCACGAAGATACTGTCTTCTGCTGGTGCTGGTGGTGACATCCAGCTTCAGGAGGTCCCATGCACTCTTGTCATAAACTGGTATGATGATATTTTTGAGGAATGACAGGTGTCCTTCTAAGGATCCTGCAATGTCAAGACGTGTCTCTCTTGGGTCGTTGGAAAGCTGCACGTTGTTCTGAAGAGAGCTCAAATTAAACTGGACCTCACTTTTCCAGATGACCTTCTGGTTCTTAGTATTGGCATTCAGGGCCACTTCCTGGTCAAGGTAAGTGGTATCAAGGAGACAGTTGGGCTGACTTGCATGGATCTGGACAAGAGCTGACATTGTCCATGGGGAGAGTTCCAAGGTGGCTTTGCTTGCTTGTTCTCCATGTGTGTGAAAGAAATGTTCTATCTGTAAGCTGTTTTTTGCATTGTGCTCCCAAATGGCATAGATACGTTGGAGAGTGGCTTCTCCAGCAAAATTCTCTTTTACTTCAAGGTTCCAGATATCATGTAATTTGGAAGCCCCTTGAAGCTTCACTGAAGACCGAGTGCCCTTGGAATTCAAATAAGTGCTGGCCTCACTGGCAATAGCTCCTGAGTATTCTTGTGAAAGGAATGAACCCTTGATGTCTCCTTTGGAAGATGACTCAATGGAAAAGTAAGAAGTGAGGCTTTCTAAGCTAAGTTTGTGTTTAACTTCCCCTTTAGCAGTAGAGCTGAGTTTTGGAAAATTGAAGTCATACTTTAATTCAATGGATGAAGAGATGGTAGGTTTTGACTTGGTATTTCCATTAAATTCTTGCTTGAAATTGGTTCTCAAAATTGGAGTTTGGACGTCTGCAGTTGTTGTCGATGAGGCTTCCATGTTTTTCTTGGTTAAGCTAATGGTACTGTCATGAGTGCCTCCCAGAAATTTGTTATTCAGAGACAGAGTTGTGGCTAACTTCAACCCTCTTTTCCTCGTCAAACTTGAGGTGCCCTCTAATTTGTACTGTAGTGCATCAATGACAGATGAAGAGGAAGAAAGGATATGGGCAACAATGTCTGATTGGTTATAAAGTCCAGCATTGGTATTCAGTGTAATGATCGTTGATTTGAAGGAAAATTCATAGGTAATGTTGCCCATGGCTGGAATAAAAATATTGTTAATGGTTTTCAATTCCTTGAAATCTGGAAGAGAGACCTTGAGTAGATTCCTGGGGACATGGAAGACTGGCAGCTCTAGGGATGGCAGAGCCAATGTATATGAAGGCACATAGAAGCTTGAATCCAGGATGGTGACATTGGGGGTGCTTATTGATTTTGGGATCACATGACTGAATGCTGACGTCTCTATTGTGAGTGGAGATACTTCAATATTGAAAATTGGAATAATGTATCCAGGAGTCTGAAAGGTCCTGGGGAGCCTGTTGAGCGATTTTTCAACTTTGTACTTATCAAACTTAATTTTTGCTTCATTATAAGATTTAGTGAGAAAATCCAATGCGTTGTCTCCGATGTTCTGTAAATGTCCACTGAAGGAGTTGATGTTCTGACTGATAAACTTGTAAAATGCACCCAAAGGAATTGCGATGGAGTGCTTCTCTTTGTTTTTCTTATATTTAGCATTTATGTTTAAGTCAAATGATTGCTTTGTTGTCTTCAAGAATTCCTTCAAGCCTGTTTTTTCCCATAAGGAGAAATCTTTCAGTGGTGGAGTGGTGAGCGTTGTGTAAGGGAGATTTATTTCAGGAATTGTTAAAGGAATGTTTAAGAAATCCAGATTGGCCTCTCCATTTATTCCCATGTGCGCCTCAATGCTGTTCTCATCGTTTCCAACAGAGAAATTTTGATTGTATTTATACTGGTTGAACCTGGCATTTGCCTGCCAGTTTGCTTGCTGGGCACTAGGATTCAGAAACAGTGCATAGTTATTCAGGAAGTTTATCTTACCTGTTAATTTTAATGGAAAACTAACTTTCAAATTCCCTTCATTATTTGTGGATGCAACAATCTCAAATGGCTGTGCTGAAATGGAAAGAGAATTTTTCAAAGTTCCAGTAACTTTTCCATTTAAAAGAGCAACATGGTTGCCAGTCACCTCTGCCTTCCCTTCTCCAAGCAGCGCTGTGCCTTTAGCACTTAGAATGCTGTGGCCCATATGCTGAGATTCAATGTGTGACTGAATTTCAAATTTAGAAAAGTTGAAGAAGTCAGAATGGTAAGCCAAATTTTGGTTTACTCTTAGGTGTTTGCTGTTGATGTTATTGGACAATCCAAAAGAAGTGATGGGTCCTTTTACAGTGAAGCCAATTTGTGACTCATGTGTTCCCTCATCTGAAAATTTGGGGCAGGCCCATTTCCATGTCCCTGTTCCAGAAGAAGTCCAGGTCACATGTCCCGCTTCCAATAGTGTCTTGATCTCATTATGCAGGTCAGCCTGACTGGAAATGTCCAGACTGGGGACGTTCAGTATGTGGGAGTAGTTTGTGGTGCTCTCCAGAGTAAGCTGATTGTTTATCTTGAAAATCACAGAATTATTAAGCTTCACTGTATTTTTTTCTGTGTGTAAACTTGCCACTGTGTCAGACTTTCCCTCAATAGCATTTCTGAAAAATAGAAGTTCACTCTCATGCTCTGTGCTTAGGTACTTGCTGGAGAACTTCATGGATTCCTTGAGAAACGGTGGATTAATCTTAGAGTTTGAGAGTTGTGCATCTGCTTGAAAAGCAAAATTGAGAACTTCTAATTTAGACTGTCCTTTGGCAGCAATGGAAGCTGCAATCTCTACTTTCTCTACTGAAGTAGTTTTATTCTTTATGTCGGCATTTGCATCTAATGTGAAAAGGGGAGACTGGATTTTCAAAACACTATACAGTTTGCCAAGAGTAGGTACTTGGACAGTGTGTGAGATGTGGGGAAGCTGGAATTCTGGTATGTGAAGGTCAGGAACTTGAAGATCTTTAAGGCTGAGATTTGGGAGTATGAATTCTGGAATTGTGATTTCTGGTACACGGAAGTTCGGCAGGGTGATTCTAGCAAGAAGGGTATCCACCTTCAGATCCTTCAGATACACTTCTGGAATTGGCCATTGCAGCTCACTGTTCAGCATTTGGTCAATGGTCCTGATGAACCTCACTTTTATTTCTACTAAGTCAATTGTAAAGGAAGGGATGTGGAAGGTGCCGAGGATTGTAAATTCTGGTGTAGAAAACCTGGATGGGATTTTTATGTCTTTCAACTCTTTGAAATTTATTTGAACTGATGGAATCCTCAAATCTGTGAAGGGGACTGTGAAGTCAGGAGTCTGGAAGGTAGCTTTCCGAAGAGCATGGAGGCTGACTTCAAAGGCAGGCATGGTCCCAATGATGGTCTGGATTTCAGGAACAGTAAATCCTTGTTCTACCAATGCTTTCAGGTTTTCAGCCCAGTCTTGGATGGAATACTGCTCTGCAAAGTCAGTAAGGTTCTTAGCAGCAAGACTCCACCAATCAGAAATGTAGGTGACAAGAGTGCTGTAAACTTGGCCTACCAGAGACAAATATCGTGCCAATTCCCGCTGAATGTCCATTTGATAAACTCTGTCTCGTATATCTTCTAGAGTCTCTAGGAATTTGGCTTTCATGTGAATCAAAGATATGGAATTTAAAGCCTCTTGTAACCCATCGATGAATAAGGTTACTTTAGTGTCCCTTAGTCTTTCCAGACAGTCCAAGACCATGGCCTTGATGTCCTCGACAAACAGTTTTAGTGCTTCAGCTTTCTGTGATATTTCCAGAGCCTGTATTTCACCATTGATCATCTGAGTCAGCTCACGGATTTTGCTGTTGGTTTCATCTACAAACTGGTGGTAATCAAATGATTTTAATTTCCTCACCAACATGTCAATGAATCTGTTTACTTCTTCAATTAATTTTTCAAAAGACAATGCTTTAAGCTGCTTGACAGCATCATCTACAAACCCAACTAACTTCTCAAAGTAATCTTGTATCTCAACTCGTTGCAGGACATTGCTTAATTTCTGAACAGTATCCTTCAGCTTGTATTGTTGGGCCAAGTCTACCAGTCTATCCACTATGTTCTGGATTTGTTGGTCTACTTCATATTTCTTAATTAATTCATGAGCTGTGGCTCTAAAAGTATTGATTTTGTCAATTACTTCAAAATTTTCAATAATATTTATAACAAAGTATTTGAAATGTTCAATAATGTCCTTTATTATACGAAATGGAATTGTAGTTCTCAATTGATCTAAAAGCACTCTGACATCAATAGCCTCAATCTGTTGTTTCAGTTTTTCAGCCAGGTATGGGATGTTTGTATTCTGAATCTGTGTCTTAAACTGTTGCAATATTTCTTGTATCCAGATTCTGACTTGATACTTGGTATCCACATTTTGAATCCAAGATGCAGTACTACTTCCAATTTTGTTAAAATCAATAGCTTCAATAAACAAATATAAATTATGGATTGATTTAATTAAATGTGCACGGATATGATAACGTTCATCAAGAATTTTTAATTTTTCCATGATTTGATCTATAATACTAGCTATAGCTATTTTAAAATCATGTAGATCAAAATTATCTTTAATATACTGATCAAATTGTATCACATATGTCTGAAGTTGAGACAGTTTTTCATTTAAGTTGATTTTGGCATTATCCAATGCAGTTTGTATATCATTCTCTGTAATTTTATAATTTTTTGTGAAAGTAGTTAGTTTCTCCTTGGCACTGGAAACTTGTCTCTCCCAATTGAATGTACTCAGATAATCATTAACTTGCTGTGGGAGTTTTCCCAGGGTTGTTCTGTATCTCCTTAGAAACGGATCAATATTGATGCGTTTCAATTCTCTTTGTATGGTTTCCAGTACAGTTATAATTACCATGCGATTCTTCTCAAAGTATTTTGGCAGGCTATTAAGGAATGGGAGGTTGATAGTATGAACATCTTGGTTCTTATCATACTTTACAAAAGAAACAATTGTGAATTCTTGGGGCTTGTCAATAGCATCTTTCATCTTTAAGGCATCGATGATATTGATGGGCTCACTGAGTAAAAGTGGCACTTTAATCGGGGTGTCTAGCATCGTCAGATCAGCTAGAACTCGTCCACTAAGCTCCACTCCGATTTTGTCTTTAGTGTTGTAGGCATCAAAGTCCTGGCTGTACTCATTGTTGTTGATTTGGGTCTTGAGTTTCCAGGTCCCTCTCTGCTCAGCCGGGGTAAGCAGGGCACTGACTTTGTGATCAAGGGTTGTACTGACACTTCCCCTGGTCAAGAGATGGTGCCTTATAGATCCTTGGTAGTCATGAGAGAAAGTAAAGGCCAAAGGTTCTGCTTTCAACAGGAACTTGCTGTACAGCTTCCCAGTGTGTTCTCCCCAAAGAACCAATTTCCCATTGCCATTTGTAAGTGTATCGATGGTCAGGGTGAATGGGGCCAGTACAGAGTGGAAAACGTTGTTGAAGTGCAGGGAGTCTGAATTGTAATTTGTACTGACATCAACAGATGAAGCCAATCCTGCAATGTCTGTGTTGATCCGATGGTTAAATCTCATATCCTGGACTTTAGCCACTGTTTCTGCTTTATAACTTGCGGATAAGTCAGCATAAGAAATGATGTAGCTGTGTTTTATTTCATCATTTTGGTAGGCTCCTTTTAGGTCACCAGCCATGTTCAGCTTCAGGGGTTCTAGCCGTAATTTCCCACTGCTGGTCAGACCAAAAGTACTGTATTTTAGGTCATTGTTTACGGTAGTTACAAGAGAATAGGGCTGTAGCTGTAAATTGAAATTTTGCTTATAAAACTTGTCTGAACTGTAAATGTTGTCAAGTTTTGAAGATAACTCCAAGGATAAGCCTACGATGTTCAGATTGTTTGTGTAGTCAAATTTCATTCCAGCATAGGCACCCATCATGTCATTTGAAAGCTTTAGTCCCTCTTTGCTGATCTTGAAGTTGAAAATGTTCTTGCTGTCAGCACCCAGAATCATGGCCTGGTAAGCGCTTCCCAGGGATAACTCTGTGAGGGTAGCTTTCCCATCTAGGCTGAATTTTGCATTGTGTTCCTTGAAGCGGCCATTTGTTGCTAATTTCATAGATGCCCCAGAAAGGGCAAGCTCTGCGTTCAGCTCATTCTCCAGCATCAGGGGACTGTACCTCAAGCTGGTTGTTGCACTGGTAGATACTCCATTTTGGCCAATTCTTAGAGTTGCCTTGTGAGCAGCAGTATTCATTTTGTCAGTGCCCAAGATGTCAGCATTTAATTCAAGACCATGGGTATTCAACAACCCAGAAAGCAGGGTGAAGAACCTCAGTGACTTGTAATCAGCCTGATACTCAGCACGTAGCAATGCATTTTGCTTGGAGAAGGTAAGATCCACTTTGTTTGAAGTGGCAAACTCCTCATACTTGCCATTGGTATCCGATTTCAGAGTCAGCTCATAGTTCTCATACTTCAGGGAAGCAGTATTTTTGAAGATGCCTCCCTGGAGATCAGAGGTGGAGGCAAGGGAGAGGGTTCCATCTTGATACCTTCCAGTAATCTGGTTGGTGCCCTGGAAATAGGAGGAGTTGAACTTCAGATTGGACTCTCCACTTAGCCAGCCTGTGGTCAGATCTCTCTGACAAGACAGACCATATGTGCCTTTAGCATAGAACGAAGAGGCTCTGAACTGCCCATCCATCTTGACTTCCTTGACATACAATTGCTGTTTCTTCTTTGAGTCCAATTGGACTGAGGCAGACATTTGTGGTCCCCAGGTACTGGATGCATCAAATGTTAGTAAACCTTTTGAGGCTGGGTTGCTTCCTACTTTCTCTACATGACTGAATTTAATATTGGAATGTAGAAATTTGTGGTGTAGAGCTCCATCACATGATAATGTGAATGTATTCCTGTGGTCATACGTTGTTTCTCCAGATCCTAATAAAAAAAGTCAAAGATACAGTGGTTAACATATGTAAGAAATCCCCAGAACTATCTATATCTTGAAAACATTTCAATAACAAAGTCCTGTTTATCTGCGTCAGTCATGCGACAGACTCCTTTGTCTGTAATGGTAACTGTAAAATTTGATAAAAGGCATTCCTCTAGGAAGACTTCCCTGTCTACAGTGGGTCTTGTTGGGCTCCCTTATCAAATTTTCCCATGTGCCTTACACTTGTATGCTAGATCATAGCATTTTTCATACTGAACCATGATTGATTGTTTATCTGTCTTCCTTCCTTATTTTTTGAAAAAAAATGTACATTTACTTAAAAATGAGCAGATGCACAAAAGTTTTATGTGATGTTTTGATACATGTATACATTGTATTATGTCTAATAGAATAGATATTTCTCCTCAAAAATTTAACATTTCTTTATGGTGAAAACTTTGTTGTTTCTGCCTAGTATTTAATGTATATTGTATACTTAATAAGATGCTCTGTTAGTCGAATGAATCAGAAGATCCCCAAGTACCAGGGACACTACCAGCAAGAAAGCCACGTTTTTTCCTCTCTAGAGGAGGCACTTCCATCAGAGGCTGCAGTGCATCATCCCTGTGCCCCTTTGAGCATGGCTCACCTTGCACACTGTAGGAAAGCAGATCAACCACGGAGTCAGCCTTCACATGGTATCGAGCTCGAAGAATAAATTGGTCTGCGCTGGTGTTGCCACCAGTGTAGGAGGCAGACCAGTTGTACAGATTGCTGTAGATATTTGTGGAGAGGTCTAGAATACCCAGGAGAGGTACTCGCAGTTGATACAACTTGGGAATGGTAAAAGTGGGGACTTGGAACTCTTGAGGTGGAATGTAGAATCCCACAGAATGGAAGTTGAGTGCTGGTGTCCTAATAGTCTTCAACATCTTTAGATCTTTGAAAGATTTGCCACCAAAAGGCAAAGGAATCTCAATTTTCACAGTGTTCTTGTTCAAGGTGTATTTGACCCGGCCATCACTGAAATGAACAACAAAAGACAGTGTCCTCAATCAGACATCAAGAACTCAAAAGTGCTCTGTCATCTGGTTTTATGAGCAGTACTGTGACTAGCCCATTCCAGAAGCCAACCTGCACGCATCCTCTTGGTTCTTAAACCTGGGTCCCTTTGCTTTTACCTCTACTTTCAAGCACTCAAATCCTTTCAAAACCCTTCCCAAAGCCATTCCTTATCATGAACTTCCCACATCAGTCCTGCCAATTTCTCTCATTCTTAGAGTATTGATACAGTCCTTTGCATCTATCTCAAAGAGCATGTCATCATTCTGCTTATGTGATTAGTTATTTGTTCATTTGTTGATGTCTTGGCACAGAGGGGAAGCTTGATACATGTCTGCTAAACTGAAATGAGATCGCATGAAATGTGGAAAGCACACAGGTGTGAGAGTCAGTAAACTTGGTTTATAGTTTTTGCTTCTACTGATTGGTGGTGTTATCTTAGTGAACTGCTCTGCGTCTCACTGATGTTATCTGACATGGTGGTGTTAATAGTGCCCTCTTCCTGAACTCAGAGATGGCCTTGGATATCAAATGGGGGGGAAAAAAAAAACCAAACAGCTCAGAGCATGTTGCAGTCTTCTCAATACTGTGCATAATAGACTATTATGATAACTTCTAAAAATAAAGTTGGTAAGCAGGGTTTAAATGTGATAAGCAAATGAACTGGCCATTGTGTACTCCAAAAGTGGATGACAGCTGCCTACCCAGAATCCTCTTAGTAAGAGGAGGATGGAGAGCCACTATGCTCCCTTCAGTGTTTAGGTTCTAGAGGTCAAGGAAGCATCCTGGGTCCTCTGAAGCTGTCAGCTTTTTCTCTTAGTGTCACTAGACTTTGTCCACACCAGCGTTTAGACATTCATCAGCCTTTGAAATGTTGCTGTCCAGACATTGACTATAGAGAGCCCGTGTGACACAGGCCACTTGTTTCCTTAACCGTGAGGATAACACTGAGAACAGTCAGTCTGGAAAAGGCGATCATCTTTTGAGCTAATGCTTGGGGTTTTTATTTTCATGAAATAAAGCAATCAAAGCATTAGCTGTATTTTTGTAAATATAGAAACGGACCAGGCAGTTTGAAATCTGTCTTCCCTGTAAGGATTCAACTGCATTGCTCAGCTGAAACACCCTCTCAGAATGCTGCCTTTATTCAGCGCTCAGGGGCTGTTGTGATCCTCCATAACTCAACAGCAAGGCACCAGGCAGCAGTCCTCCAGCTCCCCTCAAATCCTTCCCAAACGAGTCTACCCCAGACTGGAAAATGGGGGTGTTTGTTTACAATGGAAGAAGGTTGAACAACTTTCAAACTAAGGTTGTCGTACCCAAATCCCCCAGTTACTTTTGTACAGTCTTCCTGACCTGGTTCTTGTTCACTCTCTGACCTCACATTTAATAATGCAAAAATGCCACAGTGCTTAGGTCATGGCTATTCATCTCCTTAAAGTGCTTAAACTATTTCTCTCAAAAATTTAAATGAAACAAAGTTTAAACACAGGAGGTGAAATCCTCATTTACTTTGCATGGCTCAAGGATCTCTGGTTTCTTCTTTTACCTTTTTAAGAAGAGGTTTTCTGGGATGTGGAAATCTGGCAATCCCATTTTCTGGAGGTTCAACTCTTGGAGGCCACTGAGGTGATCTTGCAGAGTCTGGGCATAAGGAAGACTCCTGGATGCCTTTTGAAGCCACGAGTTTGTTGCCTGCAAAATGATAAAATGTTTTCAGTAACTAGCATAGATTAACCTCAAAGTACAATTAACATTAGGTGTTAATCCAGCTTTGACAAATCAGTCACTTAGTGCATCTTTGAATGCGTCCCTGAACTTGATTCAGAGTTGAGGATGTAATGAGCACTCATAACCATGCATTTATCTTGCTGGCTTATTTATACTTACAACTATTAATTTGGAACCCATGTGCCGGAAGGTCATGTCTGTTTGAGGAACTCTGTAATCCAAAAGATTATTGGCATACGCATGAAAGCTGCGAGGATAATCAGACAGATCTACAGGGAAATTGGAAGCCATTTTTTTGGTATCCACATTGGTGCCTGTGTTCCATTCAAATTCAATCTTCTCATCATCTGAAAATAAACATGTGAAATAGTTGTCAGTGATCCTCGCTCATTTCATGACCATGGCTATCACCGACTCAGAGTGCCCTTGGGACCATTCACGTGGAGGGAGAGGCACATACCATAACGCCATGCCACCCTCTTGGAAAGTGTTGAGCCGTAAGCAGTAGCAGATGAGTCCATTTGGAGGAGCAGTTTTGCAGGGGACCAGTGGGTGAGGATCTCACTTCTGGCCTCCGCTTGTAGACGGGGTATGGAAATAACACCTTTGATTTTCCCTTCTCCCTTCATGTCACAGCTATTGAAAAGAAAATTAAGTGACATCAATGATTTTTTTTTTCCATCCCAAGGAGATACACATCCCAAGGAGATACACAGATACTAACAACAGTTAGTAGTTCCATTTGTGGTGACAAAAATCAGATGCATTAATGGACCCAAGAAACAACCATAGATAGATCAAACTTATTAGCTTCCACAGCCAACTTTCAGCACAAGTTTATGACTCTGCCGGGAGATATATGGGGAAAGAGATGCTTTTTGATAGTTTTTTGAATGCTGCTCTGCCATTTACTAGCCGTGTGGCCTTGGTCAAATGATTTAACCATTCTGAGCTGTCGTTTCCTTGTACATAAAACAGAGAAATTCATACCTGCCTTGCAGCTTATTGGGAAGACTGAGATAATTTCTTTGAAGCACTCAGCACAGAGCTTGATACATGAATAATAAGTGCCTAATAAATTGTAGAAGATTCAACTGGACATGTGCAGAGGTTCAAGATGTTGACAGCTGCACTCGGGTTGTGGACCAAGGGCATACCTGGCTTGGTCACCTTGAAGGCTGAAGAGGGAGAAGGGACAGTACCACCAGATCCTGCAGCTCAGGAGAGCTCAGGTCACAGCATCCTGTGCCTTCCTTACCTTATGTGGCCCATGAGGGTGACCTCAGTGATTTTCTTGTTCTGAATGTCCAGGGTGAGCTTGTAGGCCTTTTTGTCCTTCTCAGATTCATCATTAAGTCTGAGGATTGTGCCAAAGTCAACGTCAAAATCTGGAATTTGGATGTCACTGGACAAAGTCCTACTCTGCCGATTGTATTTGAACATCATGGTAGCCTCACTCTGCTTCACACCTGAAAGAGTGTACAAGAGAATAAAGGAATATGTGCAGAAGTCACGCTTAGGAGGCACAGAGGGAAAGAGGCTGAACAGCCATAAGTCCTCAATGTGCTCAAACAAGGGCACAGTTCAGGACTTTACCTGACATTTTTAGCTAGTGGTGTTCATATACTCATGCAATCTGCAGGTATTTGTTGATGACCTATAAAGTGCTGGGCACTGTTCCTTGCCCTCATGGACCTTGCCTTCTGGTGGGGGTATATGCACAGTAATCAAATAAACTATTTATGTCTGATGGTGATAGGTGTTCATGAGGATGAAGGATGTTCATGAGGATGACCACCACATGTGGTGGTCAGAGAAGTTCTTGCCACTAAGAGGATTTGTGGGCAGAGACCAGAATACAAAGAAAGGCTAGAGACTGGCATTGTGGCATAGTGGTAAAGCCACTGCTTGTGACACTGGCATCCTAAATGGGCATTGATTCAGGTCCTAGCTGCTCCACTTCCATTCCAGCTCCCCGCTAATGGCTTAAGACAAGCAGTGGAATATGGCCCAAATGTTTGGGCCTTGCTACCCTTATGGGAGACCAGGATGAAGCTCCTGGCTCTGGCTTTGGCCTGGCCTGGCACTGGCTGTTGTAGCTATTTGGAGAAGTGAACCCATACATGGAAGATCTCTCTCTCCCTCTCTTTTCCTGTTCTCTCTGTAACTCTGACTTTCAAAATAAGTAAATATTTTTTTTAAAGAAAGGCTGAGCTATACTGAGTTCTTAGGGGAGAGCATTTCAGACAAAGAATCAGAAATGCAGAGGCCCTGAGGCTAGGAATACTTGGTAAATTTGGGGAACAGTGAGGGCTTCTGGGTCAGGCAGACATGACAACTCTGTTGTCCTACCTCCAAGATGCCTGTTCTGGTTCTTGCCCTACACGGGGCTCCCGCTTCCCCAGCTCATCCTTTCTTTGTAACAAGATACCCAGGCTTCTTGCCCTTCACAGGTTTGCTCCGTTCATACCTTTGCTATATCGCTTTTACACAAGGATGTTTTCCTAGTATGTGCTCTTACCCTCTCGTGCTTATTCCTGTGAGTGTTGCCCTCTAGTTTTATTTTGTGATATAGTATCCCTGCATAAAAAGAAAACTTCCAAAGCCTCCACCCAAATGTACTGCATCCCCTAAAACATGTTTATCCGATAACCCTTTTCCAACCCTAAAAATTCCATTTTTTTTCAGTTGTTCAGAACAAAACTTGTGATGTCCCTTTCCTCTTAAACTCAGCATCACTGCTTCAGCAAATCTCGTGAGCTTAATCTTAACATTTGGCCAGCATCTGACCACTTCTCATCTCTCCTGTGCCACTACTCTAATATGGAGCACTACTACCTCTTGCATGGATTATTGCAATAACCCCCACACTAGTTCCTCTGCCCTTGTCCTTCCACAGTTTTTTCTCAACATCATGAAAAATCTCTGATGACTTTTCATTTCATTCATAAGAAAAGCCAAAATCCTATAAAACTATCTTCCTACCACCTCCCCTTATTTCTCTGATGCCGTCTTCTGCCACTTTTTCCCTGTTTCTCTTGCTCAGCAATAGTGTCTTCCTGCCTTTTCCTCAAGCATAGCAGCCATGTGCCAGCCACAGGCTCTCTGCACCTGCTGGCTCCTCTGCCTGTAACTCTCTTTCCACATGACTTATCTCCCTCAGATCTATTTTTCATGCTCACTTTACCAGCAAGACTTTTCCTGATTCCTGGTGGCACTGGTACTCCCATCCTCCCTCCTCTGCTTTCCTCCTCATACTCCCTAGACCCATCTGTGCCCTGCTTTTCTCCCCAGCACTCTTCTGACACCTCGAACATTTCCTCCTTTGTTTACTGTAACCTCAATGAGGGCAGAGACTTTATCTGGGTTGTTCCACTGTTCTAACCCAAATTCTTACAATGGGTCTAGCACGTATTGGGCACCCGTTAATATTTGTCAAATATGTTAATTCAGCATGTTCTCTTTGTGAATGTTGAACCCGAGACAGAAGGCTGAGATGGAGCGACCCCTTTTGGATACTTGCCTTCTGCCTGAGTTACAAACTTCAGAGTATCCACCAAAGCTGTGTCCTCTCTCTGGAGTTCATAGGTTGCACTGGCAGAATACTGCTCTACTTCTCCAGTAGGTATCAATTCCAGCTCAAATCTAAAGATGTTACAAGGTGTACAGTGCTGAAGTTAGAGCGTTCAAAGACAATCATGTCTACAAAACATTCAGCCTTAGGTGCAACAAAATCTGGTCATTCTTTTAACACTGTCTCTTGCCTTTGATGAATGATCTTTATGATTCCATTTAGTCACCCCCCCCCACCACCACACACACACACACAAGAACTCAAGGCAAGGGCAGATCCCAGGATTCCCAGGGATTCTGGCTAAGCACAGCAGTAACTGGCTGGTTATATCAGCAAAGCTCAGAACAAGCAGTGGTAGTGGTGGGGGGCTGAACACAAGGAGCCCTTAAGCACTGTCAAGGCTTTGGAGCACATCACTGGGCTCTGCAAAGCTCATATGAATGTGTCTGGAGGCTCAGAAACACAGACAACAAATTAAGAGCAAATCAGGACCCGTGCTGTGATCTCCTCATCCAATGCATAAGAGAGAGGGCATAGACTCCCAAAGTGTTGGTCAGAGCACACTGCTTTCCTGAGCAAATGATGGTGCGAACCCTCCAGGCTGGTGATGTGGGTCTACAACATGTGGCGTCTTCCCTTTGTCCTCCCAGGTGTTCATAATGTGGAAGGTGAGCAGATGCTGGCCAGGCACGGAGATCTCTCACCTGGTGTCTCCTGTCAGTGGATGGTAGGAGGCAGAGTCTGTGGAGTTGGCCTTGGAGTAGGCACCCGTGATGCAGTAGTTCAGGCCAGTGAAGAAAGACCTGCAGGTTGACCAGGACTGCCTGTTCTCAGTTAGAGGTGGGATCACTTCTGTCTTGGTAGTAGAGACCAAGTGCAATGTGTTACTGGAGGAGAAGGAGAAAACTCGAGTTATCTTGAAGGCATAAACTGGAATGTACATCACTGATTTTTGCCACACAATGGCTTCCCATCTGTCCACACCTAACTCAATTGGTTTGATTTACTGGGCAACAATGATAGGAAGAGCACTGATGCAACTAACAATCATAGTACCTCTTCTGTTCCAGATGGCTGCACTGAGTTCTTTACAGTGTTACCTGTAGTTCCCACAACAGGAGGCAGTGGGTTCTTATTTTACAGAGGAAATAGAGGTTGGGATGTTAAGTGACTGATTGCTGACACCTGAACTTAGGTGTATTACTTACTTCAGAAAATGCTGGGAGGAGGGACCCTCTGTCTCTTTCATCTGAACTCTCTTATTCTTTGGCATTTCTAGCAGGATTAAAGACTCTCAAGATCTCCACCCCCCCCCCCCACATCCTTTCTTTCCCTTCCAGGTCTTTCTTATCTTCCTCAAAACCAACAGAGTTGTTTTCCTTTGCAATCCCTATCTCTTTTTGGCGTGCTTCTCACTGAGCTGTGATGCGACTGCCACCTCCACATGATTTCAGAAATGCTTTAATCAGCATCTCCAATTCCCTCCTCGTTCCTAAATTCTTTTTTTTTTGACAGGCAGGTGCAGGGCCCAAGCACTTGGGCCATCCTCCACTGCCTTCCTGGGCCACAGCAGAGAGCTGGACTGGAAGAGGAGCAACTGGGACAGAACCTGGCACCCTAACTGGGACTAGAACCCGGGGTACTGGTGCCGCAAGCGGAGGATTAGCCAAGTGAGCTGTGGTGCCGGCCATCCTTCTTCCTAGACTCAGACTTCTTCTTTAGACTCAGACTTCCTTTATCTCCCAGAAGCATTCAATAGAGTTGCTCCCTTATGGCCTTCTGGTTCACTTAGGACTTTAGTGTCCCTAACGTCTGAAGGGATTATAGAACTTTCCTCCCATGTATTTAATGAATCAATAAGTAAACAAGAAAGTCCAGTGATGTTCTGATTTCTTCCAAGGATGCTTTCTCTGTATTGGTTCTTCATCTTGGGGGTGCCCTAAGACCAAACGTAGCTGGTAGGCTGGAGCTGTGCCAATGTTAGCCTTCCTACAGAGTGAGCCTCCCTCCATAACAGATCCTCCCTTTATTTCCTCTGTAAGCCACTGCTTGGCTTCCAGGAATGACCCATTATTTCTTGGTTCTTCTGCCTCTGACCACTCATTCTCACTCTTTGCTGATGTTTCTCCCCTCTCTTTACAAGCTTATATTCTCCATGTTTCTGTCCTATTCTCTCACATCTTCATCCTCACCAGTCACCATTTGATGTCAACCTGTATATGCTGATGATTCAAAAAATCCGTATTTGGAATTCAAGCATCTTTACTGGGCTTGGACCCATAGGTCCATTTTCCAGTGAAGTAGTTCTAATTGTCCCCCCTCCATGGGACAGAAAATGCAACCATCCCAAACTGTATTTGTCACCTTCCTCTGAAGCAGCACTCCCCCTCTCCATAGTCCCTATTTCAATGAAGGGCGCTCCCATTTCCTTTTCTTTTTCCTTCTTTGCTCCTATGCCCAGTCAATCACTGAGGGCTCACGATTCCGTCTGGCATTTTCTAGAGCCTGTTCACTCCTTGTGATCACCCAGCTGTCCTCCAGTGCAGGCCAGTGTCCCCCCCCCGCGCCCCCCCCCCCCCAATATGTGACTGTAACAGACCCTAACCAATCTCCTTGTCTTTGTGTCTCATTCCTACTCTGGTGTCAGAGTATTTCTTCTGAAACAAAGCCCTTTCTTACACACACTCCCCTTTCAACTCTGCCTTCAGAAGAGTCCAGACTCCTTAAGGTGACTTCCCAGGCTAGTCATGGTGTGCCCCTGCCACCTCTCCACACCATTTCATGCTCCTTGTGTGCTTTTCCAGACCAAACTTCTCTCAGTTCCTGGAACCATATTCCTTTTCTCTTTGCCTGGGACCTTCATTTTATTCTTTACCAGGAGAATCCTGGCCAAGCCCTTGGATATCAGAGTGTTTACTTGCTTCAGGAAGAGTTCCCTGAATGGCACAGGTTATATGATATGTAATTGCATGGTGCTCTCCTACTCCCAGTAACTGAGCCCTCACTTCATTCTTACTGCTCATATCATTGTGTCTTTCCCACAGATTTCACCTCCAGTAGATCAAGGACCTTGTCCTTCCCACTCAGCATGCTTGATACATATTGGGCAGTTAAGTACTATCTTTGAGTGAAAAAATACATGTGTCCAAAATATGGAAACTAAGGCAAATCTGTGGTTTAGAACATTGGGAATGGAAATCTCAATATGAGGCTGTGTCCCAGGCTCATGGGATTACGAGTTTCATGTTTTACCCATGGAGCCAGCTACTACATTTGCGATGTGTCTCTTGGTACTTTTCCTGGGGCAAAATGTTAATTTACCAAGGACAATTCCTTTAGAGCCAATGTTTCTTCATTCTCAAAACAAAAACAAACAAATAACTAGAAACCACAATCTAATAACTGACTAACCAGTAGGTCTTAAGTCTCAATTCAGGAAGACACAAAGTAGCAGAATGTGAGGAGAGGGAAGGATAATTATTTATTGAGTCTAAAATAGGTTTAAAATTAGGTAACCCAGAACCTTTGCTCCTTACTTTCTCCTTTCTCTGGAGCCTGAATTATCTCAAAACAGCTGTCGAGCCTGGCCAATTCCTGCAGATATTTGTGCATACTCAGTTCTCTCTTTCAAACTGGCTAGGCAGACCTAGTTACAAGAATTACCTGCCACTGAACAGCTTGACTGGCCTCTTTGGAGAAGGCACGATGAACTTCAGCTGCCCAGCCTTTAGGGCAAGACGAGCCTCCAGGCCTGATTCATGGAAGAAGTTGGTGTTCATCTGGATGCTGCTCCTAGCAAAGTCCGGAAGGATGATGCCCATGTTTGTCACAAACTCCACAGCCACAGAAGGCTTCAGCGCCAATTCCGCCTGCATCTGCAAATCAGGAAGCAGCCTGTCAGCTTTGTGAAATACCTCAGCCTCCTGACGAGCAGCAACCCTTCCCCACCTCTGGGCAGAATCTGAGTGACTCACACCTCAGGAGACAACACCGTGGCTTGTTGGGAGGAAGAAAAGTCAAATTCTCAATTCCCCAGAGCCAGACCTCACTACCCAAGAATTAGCTGAATTAAACCTAAGCATATAATTAAAAATGAATCTAAATGAAGAATGGGATGGGAGAGGGAGTAGGAGATGGGATGGTTTGCAGGTGGGAGGGTGGTTATTGGGGGGGGGGAGAACTGCTATAATCCAAAAGCTGTACTTTTGAAATTTATATTTAGTAGATAAAAGTTTTCTATTAAAAAAGCCTTAAGCATAACCAGTTAAAAGATGACAGGAACACTCATTTATGGAGAGCATAGCTGACTTCTTGTCTTACTGCCATACCCCAACTAGAGCTAGTGAAGTGGTACATTCTGGGGAACCCTAAAGTTTTTCATAAAAATAAACTAGGTTATTACAATGATGATATACTTGGTCTTGAACTGGAGATACATTTTAACAATGTGCACAAGGAATCTGCAGGAAAAGACCCACGTAAGGAAATCCAAGGGTGAACAGAGACTTACATGGCCTACGTCGAGTTTCACTCCAGCCTTGGTTCCAGGGGTGATGACTCCAGAAGAAGACACATGCAGTTGTAACCCAACTCCAGTGGGGAGCACGAAGGCATTGTCCATGAAGATGTAGTGAAGGAACAAGTCTTCCTTTGAACCTTTCCTTATGGCCTCTCCAATCTATGGATCCAACAGGGAAAGGGAACCGGAAGTGAATCTCACTGGGAGCACATTGTTAAATGCAAACTCTCATACACTGACAATAATTCCCCTTTATCTAGAAAGGAAGGGACTAGCATATTTTGATTAGCTGATTAGTTTGATAAATATTAATGATGACTGATTTTAACAACTCAAGATAGAAGATATTTCATGAATAACATGTCATTTTCAACTGGTGATTCAAGAATGTGCTTAAGGATATTGCTAAGGATTTGCTTAGAGCTTTATGAACTTAAGCATCATGGATGACATGGCTTAATTCTGGTTTTTCTGAGACTCTGAATGTAAATGAGAGTTTCCTTGAAGCGTATTATATTGTGGTACAATTTTTTGAATCCAAAGAACTGTTGAGATAATATTAGCATAGATTTTTCAAAAAAATAACATCTCTAAAAATGCCTGAGGTCTGTTTTCTTAAGATTAATGTGACTATCAAATTATAGGGAATGTTTTTATATATTCACTATTAATAAATTGTTAATAAAATTACAGCAAATATTTACATAGCAGGGTGCAGTTTACTAAATTATGTTACAATTGTATCATTTATATATTAAAAGGAACCTTCAGTGTAGGGAAAGGAAGGGTACACTGAACAGTGTTTTCTAGGTGATCAAACTAATGCTCTTAAAAGATACAGCTAACATTATGAAAACCGTAATTTTCAAATGCTATCGAATCCAGTGAGCCAATAACCTCCTTCCTTGAAAGTCAAGTCACACCTGCCTCTCTGAAGGAAGCACTGTCACCGTCTCTGGTGTGTGTGCTCCAGCTAGTCTCAGGGACCCTCTGCTGGGGCTGATCCACTTACCAGCCTGGGGATCCCCTGCAGCATGTGAGCACCACTCAGCAGCATCTTTCCTACGAGCTGGAGGTCTCGGAGCCTGACAAAGCCAAGCTCCTCTCCCAGGACGCGCAGGTAGGCTCTGGCTTCTGGGATCTCTTTGGATTTTAAGTCTTTGATCAGCTTGTCAGCACTGAGCATCATTCCATTTACCATGTCCTGTTTAATGACAGAGTGTCCAGTGAGCTGTCAGCATGGTCCAGACCCCTCCATCCTCCTGATGCAGGGCCTGTCTGCTCTAGCCTTGATGGGCCTGAACACAAACACTCAAAGTGGGGACACAGGGCAGACATGGAAATCAGGCACCCAACTTCGACTGACAGAGAATTCCTCTGAACAGACATGAGAAAGAGTGAGGTATTATCAGGGACAGTGGTGCTTCCAAAGTTATTAACATGAAAAACTGCAGCGGAAGTGAGGGGAATCCCATTTCTCCAGGTGCCAGGCTCCCTGGGGCTCTGCAGTGGTAGAAGGCCCCTGAATCCACCCTCTCCCCTACCTAGCTCTTTCCCCTTTGACTAGGGAAAACTACTGCATGTTTTTTGAGAAAATGTGGCTGTTATGTAAACGTGAGCCAAAGCTTGACAAACATCTGATCCTAGATAAGTGTTTCTTATAGACGAGAATTCCCAGACTGATGCCCAGGTGCAGAGAAAGTAAAGACAGACTGACAGGTTCAAAACAGCGTCAGAGAACTTCAGCCTACAGCAGAGGTCAGTAAATTAGAAGAAGGAAGTGAAACCATCGGTGAGCATGGGAGTAAACTACTCTCACTTCTCACGTGAATGTGCACCCCTGTCACTCAAGGTCTCATTGAAATGTAGCTGTGGATTTAGCAGATCCTGAGTGAGGCCTGCATTTCCGATGAGTCCCACATACAGTGCTCATCACCGGACCACACTTTGACTGGCAATGAATTAAAGAATAAGAAACTTCTGAACATACAACCCATGTTCTACTCCTTAAAGGGAGGGGTGTCATTGCTAGCTCTAAAGTGGCTCTTTTGAACCATTTGAACCAGCTAGTACACTGATATGATTAAGAGCCAAAGAAAGCAGGTAACAATATTGAAAATATTAATCTAAAACTTAGATCTGCTTATCAGGCTCAGGTACTATGCTTAGCATTTTTTAATTTTTATTTTTTTAATTTTTGACAGGCAGAGTGGACAGTGAGAGAGAGAGACAGAGAGAAAGGTCTTCCTTTTGCCGTTGGTTCACCCTCCAATGGCTGCTGCAGCCGGTGCACTGTGGCCGGCGCATCGCGCTGATCTGAAGCCAGGAGCCAGGTGCTTCTCCTGGTCTCCCATGCGGGTGCAGGGCCCAAGCACTTGGGCCATCCTCCACTGCACTCCCGGGCCATAGCAAGAGAGCTGGCCTGGTCTAAGAGGGGCAACCGGGACAGAATCCAGCGCCCCGACCGGGACTAGAACCTGGTGTGCCAGCACCGCAAGGCAGAGGATTAGCCTATTGAGCCACAGTGCCGGCCTATGCTTAGCATATTAAATATCTTATTTCACTTAATCTTTAAAAACCTTATGTCCCTTAGTTGTTCAATAGCCCCTTAGTCCCTATGGATTATAAGTAGTTCTCTGGGGATGCAGAAACAGACACACCTAACATCAAGCAGGTGTGCAAGGCTTGAAGATAGTGAGGCTGGAATTCGAACCCATGCTCAGAATTGACAAGCGCGTCACTGTGCTAGAGTGCCTCTGGTGAGTCTGGTGCCTGGGACGCTTTCGAGGGCTCTGAGCTGCAGGGGACACTGGTTTTTACCCCTCACCCACACAGGACTGGTTAGTGAGGATCACTTCCGTCACACAGAACCTGTGTGACTCCCAGGCTTAGAACATAATGTTTTGGCACTGAGACTCAAACATTTTCCTTGGGGGGCTATTCAGCAAATACCTACCTGTTCCCGCTTATCTCCCTTGGTGTAGCCAAAGTGGTCCATCAAGACTTTGGAAACATAATCAGGAACTTGACCATCAACCCAATACAAAGCCTTATTGACACTGTCTGGGAAAAATCCTTGCTTTCCAAAAAGAGCTTCCAGCGTTGGCTCAAATCCTTTTCCTTCTAAGCCAATCTGATAAAAAAAAAATCAGGCAAGAAAAACCCATTGGGTTTTATTGCTGTTATATGTTGGTCTCCTAGTCCCCTCTATGTCCATTTAATTATACCAGTATTTGATCACTACCATGGGGCAGGAGCTGAGCTTAACACTTCACATCAGGTGTCTTATTTAAATCCCACTAGAATCTTAGGATGCATTCACCTTTTTCTAGAAGAGGTGGCAGAAGTTCAGAGAGGATAAATAACTGAACCAGGGATTCAGAGTTGAGAGTAGATTTGGTGTTTGAACCAGATATGACTACACAGTCCATGGATTTCCATGGATTTTGGATTGCAGGGCTTCTCTGGCATATCTGCATTTCCATTATCACTAAGAATTGCTTCAGAGGACCCCTTGTGAGGGGAGAGGTAGATGAGCCTCAAAGGGGCGGTACAGACTGCCTGATGGTTCCTGCTCCTACCCAGGCTGGATTGTGGCTCCCTTAGCTTTCTTCTTATGGTGTCATTCAGAATGGACTAGAGAACTTATGACTCTGCTTCAGTCTCATGCATACCTCGAAAAGGTCAGCTGGAGCAAATCCAAAGACAGTAAGGGTCGTTTTCAGCATGCTTTCTTTAGGAAGGTAATTATTTGGATCAAAAATCATATTCCCTTCGATTTTGGCTGAGACTGGGTCAAGTGATGGGAGTGAAACAGATTTGGAAAGTTGATAGTTCCGGGAAAATTTTCTGAAGTCCATGACGGTTGGAAGTTGAGATTCTCTTAGAGCTTCTTTCACTACATTTTTCAGACTGTATGGAAAGAAGAAACATATTTTGAGCCCACACACTATGTGACTTACCCACTGTCTCTTATACCACAAGAAAGTATGGATTTCTAGTTGCAATTTTTAAAAAATTTTTAAAAGATTTTATTTATTTATTTGACAGCTAGAGTTACAGACAGTGTGAGAGAGAGACAGAGAGAAAGGTCTTCCTTCCATTGGTTCACTTCCCAAATGGCCGCAATGGCTGGAGCTGCGCTGATCTGAAGCCAGGAGCCAGGTGCTTCTTCCTGGTCTCCCATGTGGGTATAGGGGCCCAAGCATTGGGCCATCTTCTAGTGCTTTCCCAGGCCACAGCAGAGAGCTGGACTGGAAGAGGAGCAACCGGGACTAGAACCGGCGCCCATATGGGATGCTGACGCTGCAGGCAGAGGGTTAACCTAGTGCCCCTCTAGTTGCAATTTTAATATATGGGTAGCATTCTCCTAGATCTTTGGCTTAGGCTCTGCTGCACATTTGCACAAGGGTTTGTTGCAGAAGAAAGCACACTCCATGAAGGGGAGGCAGTAGCTCTACCTGAATTGAGGCCTGGAATTCTAGCCCTGGGCCCTCAGAAGCAGATGGGTATGGGGCGATTACTCTTACTTACTCTTGGATGTACAGTTCTTCTGAGTTCAAGATGTTGGCAAGGTGGGAAGCCACAAAGTTCTTCACCTGCTCATTCCGTTCCCCGGGGAGAAGTTGGGCAATTTGGTTAATAGCTGACTGGGAAGCTCCCCTGATCAGCATGAGATAGGCAGCCAGTCGCTTGTCCACTGGAGACGTATCATTGAGGAAAGTCTGAAGAAGGACACCCTGGACCTGCAGCCCAGAGAGAAGACTGTTATGGGTGTCCTTTGGTTGAGTGTAGACTGTGTATGACCAACACTGGCATGACTTGCTAGCTCTTTCTTCTGTGCAAGTCTAGTGTCTTCCTAATAACTTCACATGCTGGTACTGAATCTTCTCACACTTTCCCCCAGAGCAACCAGCTCAAGATAGGACTCTCAGAAGACTCCCATCAAAAATGTGAATTCAGATGCGTTAGGGCATACTAACTATGACTTGCTATGAGATCTGCCACTGAGTGAAGATAAAGTTGTTTTAACATTGTTCTTTCAATGTGAGGATCAGAGTGGAAAGGGTTAGTGAGAAGTAGGGGCTAATAAATGCGGCAGTCTGCAAAGCTCTGGAGTCCTTGCCGTGTAAGCAGGGGCCTGGTTCACTGTCCTGGTCTGGGGGCACTTGGGACAATTAAGCATGTTTTCCCAAGACGGCCGTGATGAAAGGAGGCCGGCAGGCAGCGCAGTTCTGTGTTCTACTTGCTGCAGGAGCAGCGAGCTCGCATGCCACACGTGCTTGGCACTCAAGTCAATAGACTTGTTGAAATATGCAACTAGAAAAGACTAGAAGAAAGTCACCAGAGTGATGAAGTTTAAAATCTCATTCCCCTTGTGCCGTCCAAATCCCTGTTCATCGGAACAAACATTCACTTTCAGACCTTCTCTGTGGATTTTACCTCGTCTGTAATTTCCATCTTCCTCAGGGCCTGGATGGCGGCTTTCTGAATCAGCAGGGATGGCCTTGTACTTTTGATGCATTTCAGGACAGAATACTTCACTCTTGGTGTTACCTGCTCCATGGTTCTGCCCATATTTCCGATGGCCTGCATTAGGGGAAAGAATTGATCAGGGTGTAGGATAAGTAAGAGGTGTGCGGGAAAAGCATCTGTGACATAGCGCATTTGACACAAAAGCCTGAAAGTACCCTGAGAATCAGGTAGGTGCGGTCTTCATCTCCATTGCACTCTGTGCCAATCTGCTCCACCAGGTAGTCAGCAATGTCCTGCAGGCCCTGGGTCACCCTACGGGTTGTCATGTGATAGCTACAGAATAAGAGAGGAGAATTAGAACTCACTGTGAGGTTTGATTAACCTCCAGACTTGTCTACTGATTTCTTCTTTCAAGTCATTTCAAAATGATCTGTAGAAAACAGAGAGAGCAGCAAGGCTTGAAAGTGGAGGGAGGGGCACACATTCATACAGAGCTGTGGGTTTTTCTCTGCTCCTAGGCAGAGCAATACAGTCTGAAGACTCACCTGTTGACCACATGGCTCAGTGCATAAAAGGTAGCCCGGCTCTGCTGTTCCTTGGTCACACTGAAGATCTCCTGTAGCCTCTGTTCTGAGGGCTCTGGGATCAAGGCCAGCAAGTAGGTGACAACATCTATCAGCAGCGGGTTGGCGTCTACACTTTTCAGCCACTGGAGGATATGAGTGTAACACTGGGGCTGTCCGCACTGAACTAAGGCTTGCAAAGTGATGGGGCTGAGAAGAGAAGTACAGAGTTATGTAGAACCCATGGCGTGTCTCTGCCAGGAGTGCCCTATTCCCCTCATTCTCTATCCAAATCAAGCCATCCTTCAACCTCCAGCTTGGAACCCAGGAACCTTGACTCCTTCCCTAGGGCTACCGCCCACTGTAGGAGCACCGTTGAGGAAAGTCTGCAGAAGGACCCCTGAACCTGTAGCCAAATGAAGAGACTCTTATTACTGTCCTTTGGTTAGGACACAGAACATGCCTGGCAAACGTTGACATGGTCTCATTCCTGGCCTCTGTCCCTTCATAACCTTCATAACCTTCCTAGCACTGTGAGCCAGTGACCTCACATGTAGAGAAATCACGTTTGTTTGCTTGAGTTCTCTCTCCATTGGCCTGTAATCTTCCATAGGGCACAGGTGGCTTATCTTCTCAAACTTTCCAGGGTACACTCAATAGAAACAGGAATTAGATGATGCTCATCAAAATGTGGGAATGATTTACCTTATAACTTAACATCTACACAGTTGCCTAGAATGCAGTGTGCGTGTGCGTTGCCCATGGAATTGCAAGCACTCTATCTAGCAAACAGTAACTGATTGATCAGTTGATTAACTGCATTGATGTTTAGATGGTCTCTGAGATTCTCTGGTTGAGGGTTGAAGGTTTGGCCAGCTGCCATAGGTTGTATGAAAGACTGAGCTGCAGTCATTAAAGACATACCTGGAGACCTCAATCAGCTGGGGCAGGAGGGACGCAACCGCCTCGCTGCTGAGGCCTCTCAGCTCGGTAACCAGCTTATTGAAGAGGTTTGCCCGCTGGGCGTTCTGCTCAGAAACGGACAGCGCTCTCAGTTCCTGGAGAGTCTTCAGCACGGGCTCAGTCTGCTTTGGTGGTGATGTGGACTTGGTGTTCTCGAAGGCCAGACCCACCCTCTGTGTACCTGGAAGAAGGAAGGCATCAAAGGAATGGGGTCACTTATTTCTATCGTCCAAACACATCTTCATCCACCAGAAACTGGGAACTGGGGAGGCGTCAGCAAGGGGGAAAAGAGATTATCCTGGGTGTGTTCAACACCTGCTAGATACCTGGCTTAGTGACAGGTGACTGACTGAACTGTGGTCACTCACTCGTCTACCCCCAAGGGCTCATGTTCTTCCCCAACTTATAGATTAGAGCACTGAGATGCAGAGATGAGCAACTTGGGTTTTCTGAGAACCCTCTGGGTCTAAGAGGCAGAGGTGGACTTGAACCCAGTTTTGTCGGAATCTAATATCAGATTACCCTTTGTTGGAGAACCAGAGGGGAGGTGCTGAGGTGACACAGTGACAGCTGAGGCTCAATTTCTTGGCACTCACCCACCATTTCTTCTAATTGGATCTACCAGCAGCTTGTGGGGTGGGGAGGCCTTGCCAGGGGGAGGGGTACATGGGAGCATGGAAGTGGGGTGTAGCAGAGTGCTGGCTTAGATTAGACCTGGCACTCAGTTTGCACTGCCTCTAATGTTCTGTGACCTTGGGTGCATTACTAATCCTCTCTGTGTCACATCGCCCTCTGTAGGATGGGCATAAAAGCGTATGTCTCACGCTTTCCTGTGGACAAGGAAATCAGTGAGATAGCATATAAGAAAGAGTTTGGTAGATTTAGATACCCTACACTGTGGGGTTACGGTTGGACTAGAGATCTCTAGTACTAAAGATCAAGTCCTGAGACCACTATGTGGCTTGACCCTGAAGATCCTCTCCCACCTGCCCCACCTCCTGCAGACCAGCCCCAGGCCTTCTACAGGGTGGATGAGAAAGTCAGTTCTACCCTAAGTGCAGCCTTACACTTGGGACCGTAAAGGAACCTAGGTAGCTTTGGAAACGTCTTCCTTTTCTTTATCCCACTGCCCTTTGAGCTTCTGAAAGGAATGTGCTTTCTCACTGGAAGTGGTTTCCCAGCCTCAGTGCCAGAGTGCACCTCACTCATGAGTCAGCAGACATTCACCAGGGCCCAGAAAAGAGCAAAGCCGTGGCTGGCACATCTCGAGCAGACTTCCCAGCAACCACGCGGACGGAGTCTCACCTTCAGTAAAGAAGCGGCTGTTGACCTTGGGTGTTTCTTCAAGTTTCAAAGACTGTGTCACGTGAGCCATCATCCCATACTTATTCCTGGTTAAAGGGGGGAAGGACCTTGAGTCATGGACGGCCAGCTCCCCAGAACATTCTCCCGTTCCGTGTGTACTGTTGCCCTCATCCCTGTGCCTATCCATATCCTGTCTACCTTTTGAAGCATTTTTAGATCCAGCTACCCTTGACCCCCGGACAAGTAGCCCCTCCCCCCTCCTGGTCACATTAGTTGTCCCTCCACCACAGTATTTGTACCTTATACCGTCTACCAGTCTGCAGGGCCCAAGGGTAGAGGCTAACTCTGTGCCACAGAATTCTTTGTATCTCCCACAGCACAGCACACAGATATAGCAGTTACTAAGTAAATTCCAGTTGACTGTTGTCTTCCTGATGGATTTGGATATACAAGTCTCCAGTTAAAATCCCAAATCCTTCCTCACGCCTTTCCTAATCTAGGCCCCCTGCAATGACATCCAGCTTTTCTGGACCTACAGCCCTTCAAGTCTGGGTCTGAGATTATCTTTCATTGTTCTTAAGTTGTTTGCATGTCTAAGGCTTTTCTACCTTATTGCCTGTCAGCTTGAAAAGGAGGATAAGGATAGTGTCTGCTTTGTACCTGACCGTAGCTCCCTTCCAGGCACAGCCTAGCCTGAAACAGGGCTGTGGAGAAACCCACATGGACCCGTCAGGTGAGAAATCGGGTGCAGCAGGTGACCTACTTGTGGGAGAAAGGCAGGAACAGGTGCTGCTCCTCACAGGTGGCTTCTGACACATGCTTCCTTTTGGAGTCCAGGAGGTACCGGCAGGACTGGCTGCTGCTAATCAGAGTTGACAAGGGGCGGATCTGTGAATGAGATCGGAGAACAGGATGTTCAGCTCTCGGGCCTTGAACCTGTCTTAGGATCTGCCTTCAAGGCAGAAAGGAATGGGAGTCTTGCCCAGCAGATAAACCCAGTAAACAGAACTGGACAGTTGGCATTTAGATAAGGGGAGGCAAGAAGCTGGCATAGCCAAGGGGAGTTGAGCTGTGGGTTCCTCTTATTCCACCTCAGTGGATCTCTCATCTTGCACAAAGTGTGTGCCTGTGGCCTCCACACACCCATCCTGCCACACACAACAGCTCACACAGTGTGAGACTCCTACACTTCCTTGCCTGCAAGCCTTTCATGTGCAAGTCCTTTATGTTTTTCAAGTCCATGCTTTTCCCAATGAGTCATGTGAATAATACTTTCGCCGTCTCGGTCAGGCCTAGCCCTGCTGTCTGCTCAGTGTACCAGTTTCCTGGGTACCCCACGCACCGTCCTTTATTGGCATGCACATGAATCTTAGCGTTCCTGCAAGGGGAAAGGTGCAGGGTTCGTCTCCCACTGTCCTTTCCTCAGAGCTTGTCAGAGTGCGGTTGAGCAAGCCGCAGGTGCTCAGAAAAGACATCCAGGCCAGAGCACCAGCCTCTTCTGATTCTGGTCCTTACTCTCAGAATGCCTGTTTTTGCTCCCAAGGACAATGACCTGGAATGCTGCCAGGCACAGCGGTGATTGCTCAACTCTTTCGTGTTTACTGAGACAACCTGTGACTCACGGCCCGGAAGATAGTACACAGGGTTAGGCAAGCTCAGGTGATGTGACCCCAGTTAATAGCAGATAAGGTCAGTACTGGGGGTGGGGTGGAGTGAGCCAGAGGCAGAGGGGCCAGGCTTTGGTCAAGGTCGTCCTTGGGACGGAAGGGCAGGAAGCCGGAACAGTTGTGGTCATGCCACTTCATGGGTTGAGGGAGAGGAAAAGGGAGCACAGGTCTTGGGATTTCCTTGGAGGCCGCAGGCTGGGGACAACCAACCGTTGCCCAGGAGGGAACAGTGGGTGGCTGTGCCCTCTCAGGGGTGGACAGCTGTTACTGTTAAGTGATGAAGATGGTTTGGTGCCAAGACACATGAGCAGCAGGAAGCACAGGGCTCTGGGAAGGGAATCGTGATCCTGATTCTAATTCTGGCACAATTAATAACAGGTGTCCCAGCCTTAGCAGCACTTCCTGCGTCTGGCTCTCAGTGTCCTGCCCAACAGTCTGTGTAAAGTGTAGGATGGGCAGGCTCTTCTGAGAGTCTCTCCTAGCTGGAGCATTCCAGAATTTTCTTGATGGTGAGGGTGCCACTCACCACGCCTTTGATGAGGGCCAGGGGGCTGGCGCCTGTGCTCATGGGCTGGAAGCCCTCACACTGCTGTAGGTTCCTCTCAGTGGACAGTTCAGTCGCCACATTTCCTTTCCTTGTCTTCACAGTAACGTGAGTGGAGCAGTTTCCATACACGGTGTCCTGTGGGGGTGGAAGATACAGTTTGGGTGCACTTAGTGTGGGCAAACACCATCAGGTATTCAGGAGGACCTTGGCAAGGATCTTGTGTGTGGTGGTGGTGGGGGGGAGGCAGAAGGAACATGAATGGGGGGGGGGGGACTGACTTTACCCCCAGGCTGAGGGTGGCCTTGACGGTGCTTGGCCAGCCAGAGTTGGGAGAGAGGAAGCCAGTTGAAGGTGGCTTTGACACTGTGGTGCAGCAGGTTGAGCCACTGCTTGGGACACCGGTATTCCAGATAAGAGTACCTGTGTGAGTCCTGGCTACTCTGCTTCTGTCTCAGCTTCCTGCTAATGCGCCTTGCAGCAGGGGATGGCCCAAGTATCTGGGTCCCTGTCATCCATATGGGGATCAGGTTGGAGACCTAGGCTCCTGCTTCTAGCCTGATCCAGCCCGCGCTATTCTAGGCATTTGGGGGAGTGAACCAGCAAGATGAAAACGCTTCCTCTTTCTCTCTCTGTCCCTCCCTCTCTCAGTCACTCTGCCTTTCAAATAAATGAATCAATCTTAAAAAATCCACGCAGGCTTTGTTGTGTTGCACTTGGAGGGAATAAGAGAACAAAATCAAACAAAGGCAGGGCAGGGTGTCAGGAGCCCCCAGGGACTGTTAGACTCCGCCTGGGGGCTCTGCCTGGGATGATGGTGCAGGGAGACCAAGGGGTAGAAGGAACCTCAGGCACTGATACTTCCCCCCAGTGTAGGGCTTCCTGTGTAACTACAGGGTAGCTAGGGCAGCCACCCCCTCTGTAGCAGTGGGGCTGGACTGCAGCATAAGAAAGACCAGGTTAGCGGGCGCTGTCGCTGGTTTTCTAAATTCTCACCAGAAACAACTCTTGCGTGGCTTCTTCTGTCTCCGGCGGAGCCAGGAGAGCTGAGATGATGCCCCTCTTGATGTTCAGGATGTGTTTAGGTTCATCAGTCTCTGGATAAAGGAAAACTTGCTTCCCTTCAGGAATGGCCAGCCTGAGCTCATGCCTGTCCCAGAGAGAGAGAGAGAGAGAGAGGGAGGGAGGGAGAGAGAGAAAGAGGGAGGGAGGGGGAGAGAGAGAAGGAGAGAGGGAGAGAGAGGACACGGTCACGGAAAGAGCCTTCCTCCACTTTGCGGCAGCAAAGTGGGCAGCTAGGAAGACTCCTCTTCGCCCCAGTCTTCTCACGTTAGTATTTCAAAAATGGACAAATCTCTGTGGGTTTTGGCATTCTTTCATTTCCTCTAGCTTTTTGTTTGGTTCATCTATCCTCTGTTTGCTCTCTGTCACACCTGTCTCTCTTCCCACACTCCCCATATGGACAGCCTAGTCAGTGTTTTCTTACCGTCGCCACCCGCATCAACCTTACATAGGTGTGGCACTCGTGCACCTGCATAGAGAGGGGCGCAGGAATCTTTTGTCACTGTTGTACACGAATGGCATTGTATTTTGTGTACCTTTTCCTCTCTCTTGCCTTTCTCACTTTATTAGACTCTACAGAGACCCTGAGTCATTTGGCATAGCTCTATCAGATTGTTTCTTTGAAAGCCGAATAACATGCTGTTCTATGGTTATATATAATTTATTCAACATGGCCCCATTTGATGGCATTCGCTTTCTCTCTCTCTGGACTTCTGCTGCTTTTGCTGCACGAACAATACTAAAATGAACATCCTTACTCATCTGTCTGTATGTATGATTGCTTTTGTTCTCATGGGCTGGAGGCTCGGAGACTGAAATTGCGGTGCCCAAGGGCATATGTATTTTTAACTAGAGTGGATAATGCCTAATGGCTCTCATTTCCACAGGCAGGGGCAGGAGAGATAGGTCCCCTCACTGGCCTGCCAGCCACAGGTGCTGTAGCCATTTCAGTCTTGCAGCCTGATGGGTGTAAGGTGCTAAAGATGCCTGTGTCAGTTTAGTTTGCATTTCCCGACTACCAGTGAATTTCAGCTTCTCTTCATGTATTTGCTGGATAGTCACTCTAACGTGGTCTCAGGCCATGCTGGAAGCTCATGTGGACTCTGGTCCTAGGGTTTCCCTTTGGGGACAGTTTGGATTTCTGAGGGCCTGGCTGTATCTGCTCTAGTTAAACCAGAAGGAGGAGAAGGAACCAGGCTCGTGTTCTGTAGCCTCCCACAGTTCTGCACCTTCAGAAAGCTCCAGGCCGAGAGACATCCGCCTGGGCAAGAGCAGGTCCCCTTTGTTTGGGGAGAGCAGGGATCAAGAGGAGGTGAAGAGGTGCAGCCGCCCCCCCTGCACTCCCCCTCCCTCACGTACGCCTGTCTCAGACGAGATGAGGTGTGTTGATGGAAGACAGAGCATGCATGCCTGTTGCACAGAGAAAAGGCTGACTTCTTGGCAAGTCAAAAGAGGGGCATGGATGGAGGGATGGAGTTTCCTGATGCTACCTGATTAACAGCCCAGGACTGCCTGTATTTGCACACACCTCGGGCCCCACAGACTGCCTGGGGTTGAGGATATTTAGCAACTGGGGTGACACGGTGTGCCCATCAGTCATGAGGGATGCCTGCTGTACACAGCCCTGGCCTAGTCAGCATGCAGTGGCTGGAGGCCAGCCCTGGGTCGGGGAGCCGCTAAGGCCTTGGCTCCCCTTCTCCCTGCAGGGAGCACACCCTGGAGACCACTGGGCACCAGACTGTTTTAACTCTGTAGACAAGAATTCAGTTGTTGAAACAAACCATCTCAGTTTTACTGTCTCGAGCTTAAAGCATGAGACCCTTTGGAAACAAATTTAAAGGATGACTAAGGGCACCTAACCAGGGGAGGGTAGTAGTTGTGAAAGCCCAAAGTTTTCCCGATTCATGGTGGATGCCAAATGCAGATGTTATGCTCACATGCATGCCTTCGATGCACACACACACACACACAAACCTCAGTGGACTTGTATACACACAGGTGCAGGCACACATGTGTACACACACATGCACATGCATACCTGAGGTTAACACACACACACACCCCTCAGTGGGCATGCACCCCACAAGTACACACACGTGTACACACACATTCACATGTATGCTTAAGGTGGACACACACGTGCAAACCTCAATCGAAATCATGCACATGTGCATGCACACACAGGTACGTGTATGCCTAATATGAACACACCCACCCAGCAGACATGTGCACGCCTGTGCATGCCTGAGATGAACACACACTGAAGCCTCATGGAAATGCACCCACATATCCACACACACCTGTATGCCCAGACAAGACACTTGGCAATGCCCAGACAAAGGTCCGAAACTTAAATGCACAGGGCCAGGCCTTACCTGGACATGGCAGCAGCAAACTCATCAGAGTTCTTGGTCTTCCTCAGCAAGGCCTCGCCCTCAGGGTTGAAGCCGTACACCTCTCTCAGGATGCACTGGTTGGTCCTCAGGATGAAGCTGCAGAGGTGGGGAACCTCCAGCTCGACCTGGGAAGGGGGGGGGCGGCACACTGAGTGTCTCCATCAAGAACAGGAGGTGCTCCCATGGCCCAGCGCTTAAGCTCTGGTCAGGACACCAAGGGAAATGCTGGCCCTGACGTCCCAGGTCTTCTCAACAGGTGTCACAGGTTCTCCAGGCAGCAACCCGGATGTGGCCCTGTTTTCCCCCTGTCTCAGGGTAACAAGTTTTTTAAGCTTGCCCCTTTGAATGGGAAGAATGATGACCTTTCATTGGTTCTAAGTTTACTCACATTAATTCTAAGAACTAGTGGTTTTGTCGTTGGTTAAAAACAAAAACACAGAGGAAAAGTGGGAGTTTGGGGAAAAAAAAATAGGAGGAAAAGCAGTAGGGCTATCATTGGTCTTAGTAGCAAATGCTCCTTAATGTCACCAAAATCAACCGTGTCCATATCCAGTCGTGCCCATTTGTTTAATTTTGCATTGTTGTCATTCTTATCTGGGAGGGCCTATTTAGAGCCTCTCTCACAATGCACTGGGGTGTAACGGACTCCTGGCTGTTAACTCGGCTCTGTGCAAAGAACTTGCTGCCATAGCTGAAGTGTCCCACGTCTGCACTGTCCAGTGTGGCAGCGTCCAGCCACGGTGGCAGTGGCCACTTGAAATGTGGCTCCTGTGACTGAGAGACTGAATCTTTAAAGAACCATGTGTGACCGACGCCTACCTTGATGGACAGCTCAGCCCAGAGCCACAGAGCCCCACCGCGAGGAGGGCACCTTCCCAGCCCTTCTCCCCAGCCAGTGGGATCCCTACGTGCATGGATATGAGAACAGTCTTGAGTAGGTGAAGTTTTATCTTAGAACAGACTGCGTGTTTAAATGTTTCGTTTCCGTTTGTTTTGAGTAACAGATTTCTGTTCTGTTATAAAAATCAGATGCCACGGTGCTTTCCAGAGACGCCCACCTCCTGCAGCTCACGCACTGGGCGTCTCTCAGATGCAGAGCCATAGTCCTGCACGGCTGATAACCTGGATCATGAAGTCAAAATTTCCCGTGGCAGAAAACCTCTCAGCAATGTGGCCGGCTTACGAACCACAGGATGGCCCCCACGTTGAGATGACGGCAGCCGGGCTGATGGAGCCTGGCTGGGGGAAAGCGGTGGGCTTCAGGTTCCTCGTCCCCTGCCCCCGACCGCCTACCTTGCAGTTGATCTTGGTGGCACTTCTTGAATCTGTAGTCCCGGGGACCCCGCTGGAGCTCTCTGCCTCGTAGTTGTAGACATACTTGCGGAGGTGCTTGAATCGCGTGGCATCTTCTACAAGGAGGAGGAATGAGTCAGCCACACAGCAGAAGGAACTCTCCCAAGTACAGCAGACCTGGTTGTCACTGTGTTATACTTAATTTCCTGTAGTTGTCTGTTACATGGTACTGAGGCCTGTGTTCAAGTTAGCTGGCATTCCTTGAACGTACCATCTGACGCACAGGGCGGGGAACGCTAAGGATCGAGTATTGGGGCTCAGGAAATCTGAAGACCAGAAACCTTTGGAAAATTAAAGTTGCTGGCAAAGGGCTGGTGCTATCTAGTTCTTTACAGCTTCAGGACGCCACAGTTTTGTGATTCATACACACCAAATACCTGAAGCAGTTTATTAAGTCTTAGGGGCACCTGGTTGACTTCAAGGAACCGTCCTCCACCCTTCCATTCCCCCCAAAAGAAGGAATCTCTAAAGGGTTCCACCTTAAGAGGACTTTGCACAACAATTTGAATGAAAGAACATCTGGGTCGCGAGCCCAGGTGCAGTGATGCTAGATGGCCACCAGGTGGCGGTGCTGCCCTACCAGAGGCTTCGGGAGCGTCCCGGGGAACACAGCGTGCTATGGCCGGGCGAAGCGCCTTTGACCCCTAGGGGCCAGGTAAATAGAGGTGGGGGGTCTGGATTTCTGCGCAAAGGTTAAAGTCAGCATTTCGTCACCGTCACACGCTTTGAATTAATGGTTAGTTCCTGATAAACAGGACAGTGATGTCCCTGAGAAGCGTCCACTGGCCAACAGGGTGACAGCGCCTTCCCCACCCACCCCCGGCCAGGCTTTGGGACCCGCAGGTAGGGAGTCGCGGTGCCGTGGGGGTGCGCAGAGGCGCGCGGCACTAGCTTGCAATGCACTGGGGCGTGCGGGCCCCTCAGTGCCCCGGGTGCAGAAGGGTGGCTGGGGTGGGCGGGGCTGCCCCCGTGCCCGGGGCAGTCCTTACTTGGACAGCTCGGGCCGACGTTTTCCACCACTTCGTCCTCTGTAAGAAAAGGAGAAAGAAAGCTAGGCTTGCCTCAGCCTTCCCAGGGGCCTCCCGCCCGCCTGCCAGGGCCGCTGCCCACTTCCGGTCTTTGCAGAGGGGAGCAGCTTCTGGGGCGCCCGCCCCAGAGCCGGTTCTGCTGCCCCATCCTAACCTGGCGGGCGGAGTTTGTGCAAAACAAATTCTTGAACTACAGAAATCCTTAATGGACAAGATAGAAAATCTCTCTCGTGAAAATGAAATATTAAGGAGGAATCAAAATGAAACGAAACAACTAGTACAACAGGAAACTGGATAGTGACTGAAGTGAAGAATTCAATAGATCAAATGAAAAAC